CTGGCTAGTGGTTTAGTAAATGGATTAGATAAATTATAGCTTGAATGTATACATGTAAGTTATTGTAAATGTACCTTAAAACCTTTGTTGATGAAGAGAAAGAAAACATATTTTGGAGATTGCATTTACTGCGAAAATTAGGAAGTCGGACGAAAAGTCGAAAGAGAAAAAAATTGGTCAGTGAATAGTGTCGTCCGTACGGTGAATAGTGTTATCCATACAGATGAATAGTGACGTCCATAGTGAATAGTATTTTTGAGTTTTCGGGCTTTTTCAATTCGATCCATGGATCCTTGTGATTTTGGGCTTTGTTTGTTCGTATTTGCTATTATAAATATGTATCTCTTATATGCTTGGTGTATGACAATCTTAGAGTGTTCACCAACAAGGGAGACCAAGGGTTTAAATTTATAACATAGGGTTTCAGCTATGCACAAAGAAAACCTTGGATTACACCTTGGGTTTGAGTGATTCATATATTGAGAGTTGGAGAGGTAGGGAAACACTTGGGTAGAAAATATGGTTGTTCTTGAGCGCCTTCAGGGTTGTTCTTGGGAACCTGAAGGAGAAGACTATTTTCTTGTAACTCATTTGTAATCTCTTGTAACAAATTTTTGAGTATAGTGAATTGAAGAGCTGATCTCTCCCTCAGAGTAGATCGTTTGGTCGAACTGGGTAAACAAACCTTCAGTTTTTTCTTGCCTTATTTTGTTATATTATCTGTGTACGGATTATTATTGCTGAAGACCATTTATTTTGGTTGTTATTGTTCTTTGCCTCACAAATTGATATTGAATTTTGTCGTAATTCACAACAAGATTCACAACATGTGTGAAATGATTTCATCCTTAATCAATTTTCTCACAAGAGAATGTCTAAAACCTTTGTGCCTAAACTCTTCATTATACAATTTGTTGTATGTTCTAGCTAAAGTGGCTTAGCTATCGCAATGTATCAATACCTTTGAAATATTATATTTAGTCAATGAAACTTCCAACATAAGGTCCATCAACCATTCAACTTCTTAACCAGCAAAAGCAAGAGCCACAAACTCTGATTCCATAATTCAGAGAGTGATCGCGTTTTTTCTTGATCTTTCAAGAAATTACACCCCCAACTAGTGTAAATATCCATCCTATTATACATTTATGATCTCTAACACTCGATATCCTACTCACATTGATATATCCTTCTAATATGTCAAGAAACCTACTTTAATGGAGGTCAAAAAATTTTATTTTCAAAAGACAATTGAAAAACCATGTGATTGCCTTCCATTTCTCACCACTTAGATTTCTAGTAAATATACTCATTTTACTAAATATGAATGTCATGTTGGATTTAGTAGATTGCATCAAATACATTTGATAACTAATTGCACTTGCATATTTCAATTGAGTCACATCTCTTCCATAATTCTTTTGAAGCTTTCCATTATTATCAAATGGAGTATTCACTTCATTAAAATGTAAGTGTTTGAACTTATCAAGCACTTTATAAACATAGTGTGTTTTACTAAGATCTTAACCCCTCGCTTTACTTTGATCCCTCCAAGATCTTTCATCTTGAATATGGAAGTTAGAAACTTCATTGTTTATAGAATTTCATTCAACTCATTGTTAATGATTAACATGTAATCAATATAGAGACAAAGGTAAATCACAATTTTTTCACGTACCTTTATGTACAAATACTTGTCACAAGAATTAGGAACAAATCCATTTGAAAGTATAATAATGTTAAACTTTTGATGTCTTTATTTTAGTGCTTATTTTAGTCCATACAAAGATTTGACAAACATGCACACCTTTTGTTCATTACCAAGAAACACATAACCCTTTGATTGCTCCATGAAAATATCCTCGTCGAGATCTCCATTTAGGAATTTTGTTTTAACATTCATTTGATGAACTATAAGGTCATATAGAGAAGCTAATGCAAACAATACTCTAATTGTCGTCTGCCTTGCTACTAGTGCATATGTTTGAAAATAATCAACATCTTCCTTTTGTCTAAAATCCTTGGTTACTAATCTAGCCTTATAGGTGTTTAGTGTACCATTATTATGATATTTCCTTCTAACTACCCACATGCATCCAATGGATCTTGACCCTTTAGGTAGATCGACATGTTTTCCAAGTGTAGTTTGACATTATTGAATCCATTTTTTCTTGGATAACATCCTTCAAAAAGGAGGAGTCCCTTGAAGCTATTGTTTTCTTATAAGTCTTAGGATCATCGTCCACATGATTAATAATTGGAATCTTACGAACAAAATTCTAACTATTTCCTTCAACTAAATAAATAAAGTTCAGAATCGATTTTGTTCGGTCCTAGATCTTTAGCCTTTCAGACTCTCTTGCTTATCCTGAGCTCGTGTTGTGTTTCAAAAATTCGTGGAGAACTTTCTCATGAGGTTTATCATTTGTGGGAATCTCAGATTCCTTATCCTTTGTGATAAGGTTCTCAAAAAATTTCATATCTCGGTATTCAATAATTACATTATACTCTAAATTCAAAAGTTTATATGTTTTACTGCTAGATGCATAGCCTACAAAAACATATATGATCACTCGAGGACCCACTTAGTCCTTTTAGGAACCATGTTCTTATACTAAGCTACACATTGTCACACTCTAAAATAACTGATATTTGACGCTTTACCTTTCCATACCTCATATCAAAAAAATACATGTTTTCTTTAATGGAATTATATTCATTATGTGACAAACACATAGCAAAGCTTTACCCTATAAATTAAATGACAATTCATAATGCATTAACATGACATTTATCGTTTTTTTATATGTCATATTCTTTCTTTCGATTAGACCATTTTGTTGTGGTGTACGAGGTGCAGAACATTAATGTATAATTCCATATCAAATTCAGTAGAAAAATATTCATCATCTTATCACTCCTAAAGACTTAAATACTTCGACTTAATTGATTTTTTTACTTCCACTTTAAAAAATTTAAAAGCATTAAAGTCATCATCTTTATGCTTTAAAAAATAGACATGTGTGAATCTAGAGCAATAATCAATAAAAGTAATGAAATAATACATATTTTCCCCATGAATTAATATGTAAATTCACATAAGTCTCATAAAGAGGTGACTTGTATGCCTAATGTCATAATATTTTGTATAGAAATGTACTATCTCTCTCACATACACGCATTGACCTTTATTGTTCTCACGCTTTTTTAGAATATGTTACAAGTGATATCAAAGTCATGTTTGTCTAATTGATAAGGAAGTGAAAATGAGATCCTAGTATTGAATCCTTAGATCAAAAATTTTCTTAGCAATATAGTTACTAATGCACATATAAGAAGGAGTCTCGCTCGAGAAATAATTTATTAGACTTTAGTGTAAGTGATTAGTCTCACTTTGATTAAGAAAAAATTAAATAAGTTAATCATACATATAATATCTTGATTAAAATTTTGCATGGAGATTAGTTGTTTTCTCTTTTTTACCCTCAAGCATTGATTTGCAATATGAGTTCTTCAATTTATAATAAGCCTATTTTTTTTGAGTCAATTATCCTTAAAAGTTTTTTTTTTTTTTTTTACATTTTTAATAAATGCCTTATAGTAGAGGTTCAACTTTATAATTAAGGTACAATCATTATACAAATAGTTAAAAATTAGTAGTACTTTTGAGAGAAAACAATTAGAGGGTGTTTTTGGAGACATTCTTAAGTGGGCACATATCCAATCCAACATCTAACGTTTAGGTACAACCAATTAAGCATTTGAACCACTTATTAGTATAAAAAAAAAAAATTTAATTCATTTGTTCATGTAATCAAATCAATTATTTTAGGGGTTCTTTTTAACGTAACAAGAGCAATCTTAAATATGCGGCAATTTTAAATCTCTTTGCAGTTTATTACGGTTATCTTTGACTCAAGAGTTAATTTTTGCAATTACGCATAAAAAATACTTCATTTATAAATAAAAATAAAAATAAAAAATAAAAACATTCTTTAATAACACTTCTTTAAATTTTTCCTTATAAATACCTAATCTATTTTGTCATAATTATCATGTTTTGTGGAGTTTATAAAGGTCAAGCTTCTAATCCTTTAAACAGATGACAATGTATATGAAAAATTATTCCACCTTTATTAACTTTCCATTTCGAATATTTCATTGTTTATTTTCTGTCAAACGTCAGATCCCACCACCCAAATCTTACTGATGCATTGCAGAGATCTGTTTACAAGTTGTATAACAATAAGATAATAAATCCAATTGGGAATGAGATCATGAGATTAATAAACAAAAACATCACTAATCCATATCCACCATAATCCTAATGCCCATTCACAATAAGGACAAGAGAATTCTCTAATGAGGTTGATACATGACCCTTGAAACTTCTAACTTGTATAATCAAAAACTAACTTTTCCATTGATTAGTTATGTGTCAACATTGATGATCAAAAAGCTATCGCAATAAAAAAAGTTAAGCTTTGTGCGCAAATTCTATCTGACATACCAATATTAATATATTAGACTGTAAAAATTAAGCTTTGTGCACAATAGTTGAACTTCTATCAATTATAACTACTTTGTCCGGATAAAAAGAGACTTTCTCATGATTACAATGTGTCAATAGTTGAAATTTTTTAGTATTGAAATAAAATAAAAGAACTGAAATCAGTTAGACATGCTTAAACATTAGATCAAACAAACATTGAATGCTACTACATTTTTCATTACATCTTTACCATAAAAAGTATGGAAGTCTACATCAACAAAGTTTGACAGATGGTTTAAACTTATACTAAACATGAGGATTCAAAAGAAAATGGCAAAGGCAACATTGTTCTAAAGAAAACGGGTAATGATAAAAGAGAAAAAAAGACATTGGGAAGAGATTGTTTTGTACTTTACAATTTAGAGTAACTATGAGGCATACAATGACTTGGTTCAGCTTCACCATCCTATGAATTTCCTAAAATGGAGATTATATTCTACTTGTCACACTATTCACATGCCAGTTTTGTGTCAAAGCTAGTCAAACATATCGCAAAAGCCTGAAACGCCGAGAGAGGGTATCGATAGTCCATTGTAAACATGTCCTCGCCGACCTTACCAAACTGAAGAATAATCTTGTCATGGTCAGATTGTGCTGGTTGTGACGGCGCAGGTCCTGTTGTAGCACGAGGAGCGACAGGTGCAGGCTGTGTTGAAGCAATCAGCTGAAAATTCTTGACGGACGCGACAGTCACGCGTCCCCTAAAGTTAAGGCACCAGCATTGCAGCTGTTCATGCCATCTTGGAGACTTGTTCTTAAGAACTAGAGGTCTCTCCTTTCCCTCCTCGTCTTCATTGCTATCTCCCATTATGCTAGCTCCCATTATGTCCGAGAATCTACAGCTGCTAAACTCGGTTGAGTTATCGATTGATCTTGCAAAGGATAAGCTACGGAAAGAATCCTCGAGGGAGCGAGAAATGAGCTCTGGCTGGCCAGGGACAACGCCACCGGGCTCGAGAGATGATGCAGGGATTGAGTACATAGTGCAATTCATCCTCCGAGGGCCTCTTGTGCCGAGGACATTCAACTCATAGGTGACCTGTGCCACGTTGTAGTTGCCACTAGGGACCTTTGGAGAAACTTTTTTCGAGTAGAATCTACGGCTGCTGCGTCCAGGTGGAGCCGCCAACTGAGAATTGTTATAGGAAGGCTGTGTATCATAAATTATGAACTTGGTTCCAAGAAAATTAGACCTGAAACAAGAGAAAGTTAATACATATGAAGTGCGTAATGATAGGAAAGAACAAAAAAATTGCGTTCTCGCAGCTTAAAGAAAAGCCGTACCTAAGCTTTCCGATGTAAGTGCTGCTAGATCTCGATATGTTATCTGCATCCATCGATATAACATACTCAGTGCAAGTCGTTCTTCTGGTGCGTTTAGCAGAGAGAAGGAATTTTCCGTTTTCAACAAGCAAGGCTGCATGAACACAATGAAGAATTCAGAGACTGACAAATCAGATCTTATTATTTGTTAAATTCATACGCCAGCATAGCAAACAACCGGAGTATCGAATCTTCGCAAAAAGTGGGATAGAAACTTTCAAGTTTCAACTTTCATACAGCATAGACAATATGAAAAATAAACCCTCAAACGCAATAACTCATCAAAATTTAATAAATCACGTAGAAAAATTCAAATAAACCACAAGACAAGATGATCAAATAAAAAGTGTATTCGGTATCAAAAATTTTACCGGGACTAAGGCAAAGGAAAAGGTGGTATGTCAGCTTAGATTTGTCTCTCTTGATGAAACACTGGATTGGACCATCCCTATACCCAGGCTGCAAAAAAAATCAACCGAGCACAAAAACGATAACATTAGGCAACAAAGTTCCAAATTTAAAAACATCTTTTAAACAAAGAAAATCGGCATCTCACCTGTTTTAGGGAAACAGGAAAAGTAATCTTCCCGCAGTACTCAAGACTGCCAACAATTTCTTTGCACATTTCTCTCCACGACTTGCACACCGCAGCACACGCAACCACATGTTTCCGGCTAGGCCAAGTATTCTCATTCGATTCCAATCTCTTAATAACATCGCGAAGAAGCTCCGGCGGTAAACTCGCCCACCGGCTATTTTGTATAACAGGAGCCTGATCCTGCAATTCATGAACCGAACTTCTTGACTTCCCCTTCTGATGTCCAGGAAGCCTTACCTCAAAACTCCGCCTAGATAAACTTCCAAACCCATCCCTCACGTCACGAACAATACTCCGGAACGACATTTGTCCCAACACACCCTAACAATCTTAAAACCTAGTATATATATATATATATATAAATATATATCTCACCAAAGCCACTTCAAGAATAAATAAATGTTCTTCCACTAGAGTGAATAGCTGCAAACAAATAAACAAAACTTTAATTTAAATTCCATTTTCAATACTTAATGATCAAGAAATAAAAGGGAAGGAACACATATAGAGAAAAGCACAAAGAGATTCTCATCAAACGAAGCCCCACATGGACCTAAAAGCTAAAGCGGTTTAAAATTCTATACTTTTGACAGAAACAAATTTAAGCTGGTTTCAAATCTAATAAAATAGAATTTATCATCCCTATTTTCATTTTATCTTTTCCCTCATTAGAATCGAATGAAATACCTCATACACCTAAAGAAGCATACACATAACAAGAACAAGAACCTAAAACATTAAAGTTGAGGATAAGATAACAAACCTCAAACCCTCCAAAACGCTGAGATCAAAGAACATAAGAGATCTGCGAAGTCAAGAGCAAAAAAAGTAGATCAGCTTTCTCCACTATAAACCAAACATAACAACAACCTAAGAAAACCCAAATATTAAAAATGGAAACTTTGTAAAGAAACAAAATAAATAAAAAACTAGAAGAAACATAGTATACCAAGTTTCAGTTTCCGACATGAGAATCTAATCGAAGTAGAAAAATATAAAGAAACAAGAGTTGGGTGTTGAGGAAGAGAAAAACATGATAGATTAGATTAGATGAAGAACAAAAACAAGAAGAAGAGGTAGGTGCTGACCATGATGTTTCAAAGTCTTATCAAGGAACAGGCTCCTAGATCCTCTGTCTGTGCTTAAACAAGACCCACTTTCTCTCTCTAAAAACTATTTTATTTTCTCTCTCTAACAAACAAGGAAGCTGACTCTGTAGGAAACACGGAATCGAAGACTTCGTTAAATCCAACATAAGAAAACACAATGTAATGTAATAAATTAAATAATTTATTGTTAAATCTTAATCGAATAAAATAATTTAATAAAACTATTATAAAAAATATAAAATGTAATATAGTAGTATCCACTTGAATTGAAGTGAAGTAAACAGCTTTGTTCCACTTTGGAGTGGTTTGTGAAATCACGATTTTAGCCTTGACGGTTGACCTGTTACAATAGTTGCGTTACCGACCAAGCATTGTGTAGGGTGGGTGTTAACAATTCGCGCAGTGTCTGGGAGGGGTAGGATAGCGTGCGAACTGGTGCACAGTAGTTAAGGATAATGACACGATCGTTTTGGTTTGGTGGAAGGATACTAAGATTATAGGAGAATCATCAAATCAAATTAATGCATAGTTTTCTACAATGCTTTTACATTAATTAATGAGATCATGATTTCTCTTAATTCTATTTAACTAGTTGGGTATGCTCATTTTTTATTTTATTTTTGTACGGAAAGATCAAAGTTTTAAACTCTCTTCTGACTATGTTCGTTCCGTTTTTTTTGGACAAATTTAAACAGGTCAGCATGTCATTTGCCTCCCCTATTTACAACAATCTTATAATTACTCTAAAATAAAACATTGAACCAACTTCTGTTAACGGCTTCCCGACTTGTGTCTATTAATGTCATAATTTTACTTTTAATTATAGAGAGATTCATGTGTATTTATTTACAACCAGCAACTACAAGTCTTGTTTCGAACACACCACCCCCAAGTGTGTTTAGGTATTTGCCACTGCAACCTGTGGTGGTATACTATTGTTGACTCTTAATTTCGACGTTTGAATGAGATTAAAAGTAGGAAATAGATTTTCTAAAGAAATTTAATGACTTCGACTGAAGGCATATTTTTGGAATATAAGCCGAAGACATTCTTTCGCTAGGAGAATCTAACTCACAAACTTTGAGATATTTCTTAGCAGTTGGAAGATTCGATTCGACAGAAGTACCACTGAAGGCATTTCGACAAGAAGGTTTGAGTTCAAATAAAGGAGGAAAAGTTTGTTCTCATTCATTCCTCAAAGAAGACACGTGGAGCGCTTCTAGGATTCGGAGGCATGCAGAACGACACTTGTCTCGATTTCTTTTGCTAGCCGTTAATGGCAGTTATTTCCGATTAGTATAAATAACAAGTCTTAGTGTTAGGATTTGTGTGTGTTCAATTGTGTACAAATTCTTCAGTATACTCCAAGTACCCGTGTTTTGAGAAAAACGAGTTTGTAAGAATGTACGTTGATGTAACACCATCTTTTCATTTCAATGCAATTTAATAAATCTTTTTCCTTAAGAATTTATTCTTTCTTTATGCAAGTTCTTGTCTTCATCATTTACCAGTACTTCGATTTTACTTATTTTCGCCTAAATCTGTTTAAACTTGAAATAAGTTATTTTATCATGAACTATGTTGAAGTGTTCATCGTTTTTATAAACTTTATTTAAGATCAATTAGCACATGTTATAGGATTTGTGTGGTCGATCCTGCAAGTAAAACAAATCTTTTTCGATTTGTAAAACTAGTGGTTGTTCACCAATTTTCATGGCGAACAAATCGGCACGCCAAGTGGGAGAATGCTAAGTGATCATAAAATTTGCTTCAAATTTTTTGAATGTTTATTAGTTCTGCGGTCAACTTTTTCTTTGAAAAACTTTGTTGCATGTTATTAAGAAATGGTAAAGTAGTCATCGCAAACGAAGATAGAACAAGAAGAAGATATAGGAGGAGAATGGCGGCAAATTCAAACCAGCCAAGTATTCCTCAAGATATGCCTAATAACAATGTAGAACAACCCATAGGATCTTCGACAGGAAGACCAACGGTCTTAGCGCTTGTCTCTAAAGAAATTGCATATATGGGAAGTTCGATACCTTCACACTCAATTTCCCATACGCAACCTATTCTGACTTATATTGGGCCAAGGGGTCCTCCATAGACTCCACCACCAATAGGGGCTTCAACATTCAGAAGCATCCCTCCTCCTGGGTTTTCAATACCTTTGTCTCGAGACCCATCCTATGGAATGCCAACTTCGATGATGACAAACTTACAAAACGCTCATCCGTTATATACAGAACCCGTAATGACTTCGCCATTACAGGGATCTGGCTATGGGGCAAATATGGGTCGAAATAGTCAAAAATTAGGAATAGGGTATTCAGCCTAAATGCCAAATTTGACAACCAGTTATGCATCATACTTGAGACAACAAATGGATGAAAGTAACCTTCAAATGGTCCAAATGATGTCCCAAACTATGGGGGAAATTTTTTAGCCCCTTATTCAGAATACTACCCAAGCTAATCAACAATTAGCAGCACAAATGACGCGCCTTGTAGAATTATTTGGTGTACCAAATCCCCCTCGACAACCACCGAGGAAGTATATGATAGAAAACTAAGGGGTAGTTTTCGACGAAGACACCACCATTAACCAAATTCAACAAAATCCGGGAAATATACCCTAGGCGAATTAAAACAACCAGGGAATGATCGAACGACCTAGAGTCGAACCCCCTAGGAATCAACCACAAATTTCTAGAGAAGAAGAACCAATGGTAGTTTTGGTAAATAGGAACTAGGATGCTGAAAACATTGTACAACAAGTTCGACGTAACAACCTAGTAGCAGACAATAATTTGGCTGCCATGGTCGAAAGAATCATGGCACGTAACGGAGTAAATTTTGGCCTTCGACGACCAAATTATACATCACTGTTATTTGAATACATTCTTCAGTCAGATTTACCCCCAAGAACGAAGGTTCCTAAGTTTACTAAGTTTTCTGGGGATACTATTGAGTCCACTGTCGAACATGTGGCTAGGTATTTGATAGAAGCAGAAGACATTTTGAATGATTAAAACCTTAGGGTAAAATATTTTTCAAGTTCTCTTACAAAGAACGCTTTCACTTGGTTCATAACCCTGCCTCCAAATTCGGTTCATAATTGGACCCAGTTAGAACGTTGGTTCCATGAGCAGCTCTACATGGGATAAACAAAGATTAGTTTGAAGGAATTGGCTAGTATAAAATGAAAGTTTACTAAGCCAATAAACGATTATTTGAATAGGTTTTGACTTCTCGAGGCAAGGTGTTTCACACAACTGCCAGAATATGAGTTAGTTGAAATGGATGCTGGTGGCCTAAATCATTCCATCAGAAAGAAATTAGATACTCAATGCCTGAGGGATATGGCCCAGTTGGCCGATAGGGTTCGACAGTTAGAACGTTTGAAAGAAGAAAAGGCTAGGGAAAATAAAAATAAAAGAATAGCTTATGTCGAATTCAATGAAGAAGATGAATGACCTTATAGTGAGCCTATGAGTTTCGATGAGAATGAAGTAGATCTCGCTGAATTGAAAAAGGGTTCACCCTATTCTTGCAAGGTTTTAGCACCTTCGAATAGGAAGAACCCTACTGAATCAGAAAAAAGAATGATAGGTTTCCTAAGAAAACTTATACATTCGACATCATAAAATGTGACGAAATCTTTGATTTGTTAGTTAAAGATGGGCAAATGATAGTACCTCTTAGTGCTAAAATGCCCCCTTTAGATCAAAGAAAGAAAAGAGGATTTTGTAAATACCATAATTTCTTGGATCATAAAACCTCTCAATGTTTTATTTTCAGGGATCTTGTTCAAAATGATATCTTGGAGGGAAGGCTCAAATTCAGGGAGAAGCCCAAGAACCAGATGAAGGTTGACGATGATCCTTTGCAAATTGCTGACGTTCACTATACAGAGCCAAAAGAGATTAACATGGTCGAAGTCGCTGAAGATTTTGACAATGCAGTCAACATGGTTGAAGTCACTGAGGACTTATTAATAAAGTTGTTTTGGTCCAGGTTACTGAAGATCTTGACCAGAAATTCATGAAAATTTTTGTTCGTGAAGCTACTGAAAGCTTCGTCAAAGAAACTACTGATAGTTTTAACAACAGAGTTACTAATGGCTTCGCCAAAGGAGTTACTGAGGACTCCAACCTTATGATGATAACAAAGGAAACTGCTGACAGTTTCGTTCGAA